GAGAGCGCCGCGTCGGCGGCGGCGGCGGCGGCGGAGGACAAGAGGGAGGATGAGGTCGTGGTGATCGACGGAGACGAGAGGGAGGAGGACGAGGAGAGCAGAAAGAAAAGGAGAAGGTACGTATAGTAGATTGGGGTTTATTGCTTCTTCAGTCCTTCTCTTTCTCTTTCTTCCGTGTATCAATATTTACAGAAAAGGGCATTTTGGTAGTTAGGTTTTGAGCGGTTAGGGTTTTATGATTTATTTGGAATTTAGATGGCGAATTATATTGAAATTGTGTATAATTCTGGAGAGGTTCCTTTTTTATATGTATGGCGTGTATAGAATTTGGACTTTGAATTTTTTTTTTAGATTTATTTCTTTTGATAGTCTAGAGAAGAGTTTATTTATTCATTGTCACTTTAAAGTTTGCAATTTTGTTTCATAGTCTGGCATCAGAATGCAGAATATATAGTTTAATTATAAGTAATAGTTATATTGTAGATACAAATTTATTTATATTGATATTTGCATTATATATGTAGTGTCTTTATTGGCTTTATATTTAAATTCTAACACAATTAAGTAACTGGACCATGAAGTTTCTCATTGTCCCTGTTCTTTTTTCTTGGGTTCTGATTGTGATTGGAAGGTTTGGTTAGTCTGTTCTTTATTGGCTTTATTTTTAAATTTTAACGCAATTAAGTAATAGTTATATTGTAGATACAAATTTATTTATATTGATATTTGCATTATATATGTAGTGTCTTTATTGGCTTTATATTTAAATTCTAACACAATTAAGTAACTGGACCATGAAGTTTCTCATTGTCCCTGTTCTTTTTTCTTGGGTTCTGATTGTGATTGGAAGGTTTGGTTAGTCTGTTCTTTATTGGCTTTATTTTTAAATTTTAACGCAATTAAGTAATAGTTATATTGTAGATACAAATTTATTTATATTGATATTTGCATTATATATGTAGTGTCTTTATTGGCTTTATATTTAAATTCTAACACAATTAAGTAACTGGACCATGAAGTTTCTCATTGTCCCTGTTCTTTTTTCTTGGGTTCTGATTGGAAGGTTTGGTTAGTCTGTAGAATAGGTTATCTGCGAAAGGTAAGAGGTTTGCAGATAGAATGAATTGCTAAAGTTTACAATATCTATGGTATTCCATGAGATGGTGCTCTGTGTGGATCCAGTTCAGTGTGAAAATGTCAATAGATTCAGTTCAATGTGAAAAAGTCAACTGAACTTGATGTATTAAGGGTAGTTAGAGATACCGGTTGGGAGTTTTTGTGGTTTTATGTGTGAGAAATTGCTGATTTCATCAGTGTTATATATTATATTACGCTCTACCCTTGAAATTTACAGGCAGATGAGGAATAGAGAGTCTGCCATGCAATCAAGGGAGAGGAAGAAGATGTATGTGAAAGAACTTGAGATGAAGAGTAAATATCTAGAATCAGAATGTCGGCGCCTTGACAATGCCCTGCGCTGCTGTATGGCGGAGAATTTTTCCCTTCACCAACTGCTCCAGAAGGACTGTGCTTCTGCAGCCAAACAGGAGTCTGCTGTGCTCTTTATGGGTAAGACTCTTGGAGACCCAGATTGCTGCTTACGCTTCTGTTTCCTACTCTATACTAGTTTGTTTGAAGTCGGGACATGATCGAACACGTGTGTGATTGTGCACACATACACTGCCAACTCCTTTATTACCCGCCAATCATTTTACTTTTGTTTGTACTCTCACTGTCATTTACCAATATCATCAGTGTACAAACACCTCCATGCATGTGACTACATGCATAAACATGCAAGGCTTCGCGTAAACATGCAAGGCAACACATGTTCACTTATGCACAAACTCGTGTTCCCATAACATGGATGCCCATGATATGGACGCATCATGTGCGCTGGCTTCAAAAGCCATGACCCATGACTTACCCTTGAACTATGTGCATCGTGAGCTTACGTTTCACATACTTGCCTACTCTCTAGGTGCATGATGAGCTTATTTATGTATTTATATATAGGGGTGAAAAACTAACTAAATCAGACTGAATAGTAAGAGAGGATTTGAATTGAGTCCATTTGCTAGTATTAAAATTCGTATTTGAATTCAGTTTAAATAGCAACTGATGTTCATTGGTTTTTGATAATAATTTGCAAATAATCGTTTAGCACATTTGTGCATATATTTGTTTATATTAGTTGGTAGTTATTCATTAATTATTCTAACAATTGTTTGAAATAAACACAAGCTATTTGTCACATTTTTACGCCATGATGTACAAGTACAATTTAGAAAATCAATAATGGAGCAATAGAAACATGTCTTGCACAATATAAAAGTTAACAAATGGGAACCAAAAGTATGTCACCGTACGAATAGAATTTACGGCTGGTTAACTTTTGCTCATTTATGGAAGGAGTACTGAGAATTATCTTCACTATTAAATGACCTACCAAAATGTAATTGAATAATGAGAGAAACAATTAATGAACTTTTTGTTAATCATTCAATCAGTTTCTTGCCCCTGGTCGTGTTATATTATATCAATAGCATAGTGGCATAACATTGTTTCAGTTTGTATCTTATTGTTGTGCATAATATCTGTGTTTCATGAGGTCAGTTCCTGCAGAACCCTGTTTTAGTCTGAGAACTGAATATTTGTGCATAATATCTGTGTTTCATGAGGTCAGTTCCTGCAGAACCCTGTTTTAGTCTGAGAACTGAATATAAGTTGTAACCATTGTGTTTCATGAGGTCAGTTCCTGCAGAACCCTGTTTTAGTCTGAGAACTGAATATAAGTTGTAACCATTGTCCTAGGCATTCCCCCTGCAGAAGTTTTGCAATACTGCAAATTACTTCAAAATTTATCATCTGTGAGTGCAACCTATGTACTGACATGGATTGTGGGCTTGGACACGATGTTGCATATTTAATTGCCAAGGTTTCTAGCTGCAATACCCCTCACCATTACAAAAACCACACACCCACGTACACAACCCCCAAAAAACAATAAACACACTCCCCCACACTCCACTCTTTCACCCACCCACGTTCCATGTTATGCCTCGTTTTCTATTTTATGCATGCGACATGTAATGTACATTTCGAATGTCATTGTCGTACTATTAAGTGCCGAAGCCCATGGTGATCATCCAATAAAATGTATGTGCCATTTTTATTTCATTCACAATAGCACTCTTGTAACAATTCTTCCTTGTGTTTCTTTGGTTTGGCAGAATCCCTGCTGTTGGGTTCCCTGTTTTGGCTCCTAAGCACCATGTTCCTATTCCTTGGTCTCAGCGTGCGACGCTTGAACTCAAACGGACCAAGCAGACTGGGAAGAGATCTCGCTCTGGAGGCCGTTGTGTCAAAAGCAGTGCCAAATGAGAAATCACGACCAGATTTTGGTGATGGTTTGGTGATTATGAGAAGGCGATATAAGGGTTCAAGGACTAGGATGAAATCATTTTTGTTGCTTCCTATGCAGGCTCTCTCTACCTAGTTTTTCCCCTAGGTTCTCAGTGCTTTGGTCTGGACCTTTATCTCAGTTATAGCAAGTGTTGTAATATGTAATTATTATTATTAAATGCTGCTGTTTTTCTCGTTCTTATTCAAATCCATCTTTTCTACTTTTCCCTTTTCTTGTTGGGTAATCAGTGTATTTCCCTATATGAGGACATGGAAGATTGTGTCTGCTCATGTTATTAAATTTCAATGCGGGTGAAACTTTTAGGGTAGCAAAGTGCAATATTTAGGTCTACGGGTAGGTAAACTGGTCTGCGGCACTAAGAGCATTACTCGACAAAATTTTAATCCCAAGCTAGAATTTGGAGAACTTTCCAAATTACTATTTAAACTTTTATTATTTATAACTTTGCCACTTTTAACTATGTAATTTCTTGAAAATTACCACATTGCCATCGTTCTTATTAATTTAAATTAGATGTTTAATTTTAAATAAATAGTTAAAATTTTATTAATATAATTTTTGAAATAATTATATACTTAGAAAGGTCTTGTTGAGATCTTTAAAATAAAACTAAGATTAATTTATTTTAATATTATTATAAAATTATTTTTTTTAAATTAAATAAATAAGTATCAAACATGAAAATTTAAATACATGGATCTATTTAACTTGCCCCATAAGAAAATACAAGCATAAATTAAAGTATTTAAATTACATTCATTCGTTGTCGTATCTTTGCCATAAATGTTCAATTAGTGTGTTCTGAAGCATAAAGTGTTCAACTAGCAAAAGTTTTATGAACATGAGTGATGGTCAATCTCCCACGGACAGCCAGTCTCCCACGGACAGCCAGTGATGGCCAGTCTCCCACGGGCAGCCCATCAAGTCTACCTGTTGGAAGAAAGAAGGAGAACGTAAAGAGAAAAAAGTCGGTGGAGTTTAGTTCTGAGGAGGGAATTATTAAGAGTATGCAAGAGATGGATGCTAAACGTGAAATGATTAGGGAAAAAATGGAGCGACTGATGATAATGAAACTTGAAAATAAAAAAATAAAATTAGAATTGCAAGCTAGAGAAATAGAACAACGTGACCAGCAATTTAGCTCTTCAGCGTGAAAGCGAGGATAGACAAATTATGTTGATTGATCTAAGTAAGATCGTCGATCAAAGTGAATGTGCTTACTATCAACAAAAAAAACAAGAAATTATTAATAGAAAGGAATATAGAGCTCCATCATTCGACTATGGATTTTTCTCTAGATGGTCAAGAGGATTTTCTGAGCTTCTTAGAGGAGCTGTAGGAGGAGAAAATGAATATGGATTTTCCTCTGAAGATCAAGGAGGATTTTCTCAGTTTGCGGGAGAAGCTGGTTCTGTAGGAAGAAATGAATATGAGGGTTCATTGAGAGATCAGGATGTAACCGATAGTTATAACGATAATGACCTGCCAGAATTTTAATTGTCTGTTATCATATTATATGTTTGAGGTTTATATTTGTGACCTATGGTATGTTGTATTAGAGGTTTATGTTTGCTTCCTTGTTCTATCGATGTATGCTTTGTCACTGTTATTTCAGATTTTATTTTTTTAATATGTTGTATTGCATTATTAATATTGGGTTCATTTTAAAGCTCTCGTCGATACCTTTCTAGTGTTATTATTTTTTCCAAATAAATTATTAAAAATAAAATTATTAATGTAAACTATATCCAACATTATCAATTTATAACTTTTTTGACAAAAAAAAAGAAAAATATTTAAAGAGTGTGGGTTGGAGCAAACCTCCAAATTCCACTCTCCAAATTGGAATATTCTAGGAATATTTCAATTTGGAGAGTGGAATTTGGAGAGTAGGGTTAGAGATACTCTAAACCCTCGTGTGTTGTTGTGCGCTTCGAGTTTTTCACATGAGAAGATAAGTTCTTTGGTCTTATTAGCAAGAGAAACTCCATATGAGGCGAAGAGATTATGTGCCTTGCAATTTTAGTGATAAGTGTTTCTTGTGTGCTTAATAATGTTACTCAATCAAACTTTTCAAATATAGGTCGTTTGCTAATTTTTGTCCGCGTTAAAAGATGTCTGTAGTTGATCATGGGGTTTTACTATGTTGTCCTCTGGTCAACCTGTATTTTGGGTTTTTTGTTACACTTTTGTTCCCCTCTTTTTTTTTTTTTTTTTTTTTTTTTCCCCCTTTTTTTTTTTTTTTTTTTTTTTTTGCGGGGAGCTATCTCCAATTTGTGAGTTTTTCCCGTTGCTTTTAGGTTTGATCCACCATTTTCTCAACTTGGGGGGGAGGGGGTTACTCTGTGTTGTCCTCTGGTCAACCTGTATTTTGGGTTTTTTTGTTACACTTTTGTTCCCCTCTTTTATTTTTTATTTTTTGCGGGGAGCTATCTTCAATTTTCTCAGCTTGGTTTTTCCCATTGCTTTTAGGTTTGATCCACCATTTTCTCAGCTTGGGGTGTGGGGGTGGGGGTGAGGATGGAAAATTAAGAGATTTTATTAATTAAGAAACTGCACTACCACAACCAACAAGAAGAAGATGCACAATGTCGTTAGGTGCTTCTTCCATTCATACAATTATATTAGAGAAATCTGAAGCTTTTTTAGTCAAGATGTGAACAATTTTGTTACGACTCCTAGGTACGTGTTGAACCTCAAAGTGTTAGCAATCTCTGACCCAATCTTTTAATGTCTGCACAAATTCCCCCGAGCTCCGATAACTCCATATCCGAGTACTTAATTGCATTAATCACCACTGAATTATCCATTTCAAGAACCACCTTTGATAGTCCAATATCAAGAGCAAAAGCTAGCGCATCCCTTGCAACAAGAGCCTCACATACTACAACCTCAACAGCTCTTGTATTGCCTTTTGAAAAACCGACCATGAACCAACCATTCACATCCTATACGTCCCAAGCCTCCAATACATTGGCCCTCTCTCTATGCTCCATCCACATTAATTTTGTACAAACCAACAGGAGAAGGAGGAGGTCATCTTGTGTTTACTGTCAAGTCATGAACATATATAGCTTTTAGATTCAATATTTGCTCTAAAAGACACTGTATATATCTTAGCCTCTCTCATAATTTTTGACTTGTCCCTTCTATTCTTCTCAATAACATCTTGGTTTCTATCATTCCATAGCATCCATATAGCCACACAAAACCATCCCAAGTTCTCTAGTCTCATTGCCTCCGTCACCAATTGCATCCAATCCAAAAATTGAGATTGCTTTTCATAGTTACGAAGTCATGACAAATCAGTCCCCAATCAAGCGTTTCTTGCTATTTTGCACAAGAACAATGCATGATATTGATCTTCCCCAACCTTACCACAAGCTACACAATACGGATCTATTGACATTCCACAAGCAATTAAATTATGCTTTACTGGTAGAAAATTGCAACTTAATCTCCATATAAATACTTTTATTTTGTTTGGTATCTTTAGAGACCAAATTCTCTTCCAATAGGCAACTTAATCTCCATATAAATACTTTTATTTTGTTTGGTATCTTTAGAGACCAAATTCTCTTCCAATAGATCAAATCTCTAGAGCTCGATGATTCTTATTTTGTTTGGTATCTTTAGAGACCAAATTCTCTTCCAATAGATCAAATCTCTAGAGCTCGATGATTCTGCATAAGAGTTATCACGCAAATAACTCTGCACAGAAACTGCTAATTTATAAGCACTCTTAACAGTGAACTAGCCACAATTATTGTAATGCCACAATAAGGAATCTTGAGTTGTAGTAATATTCAAAAGAATTCTTGGAATGATATGGACTTCATGGTCAAAGAAGAATTTTCGAAGCAAGTCTATTCGCCAACACCTATTTTCTTGGTCAATTAACTCTTTTACCAGCATCGGGCTTTCGGCAACATTGCGATAAGAGATGGGCCTAAAGAGACTAAGGCACTAGAATCCATGGATCCTCCCAAATACGCACATTGTTTTTGTCCCCAATACGCCATCGAATCCCCTTAGATAAAAGCTCCTTCTAGCTAGAATACTTCTCCAAAGCTAGGATGAATTATTGCCAACCTTAGCATCTAAGAAATTCTCATGTCGAAAATATCTATCCTTCATAACTTGGTAGGCAAGGAATGACTGATTAGTGATTAATCTCTAGGCTTGCTTTGCACGTAATGCCACATTAGAGAGTTTTATGTCTCAAAATCCCATTCCACATCGCCCCTTTGGAATACACAAAATTTTCCAATCTACACCGGTGGATCTTCCTTTCATACTCCCCATCACCCCACCAAAATTTTGCCATAAGCGAATTTAGGGATTGGCACAGGGAAGAAGGCATAAGAAATACACTCATTAAATAAGTCGGGATTGATTGTGCCACTGCTTTGATAAGAATTTCTTTGCCTGCCTTAAATAATAATTTCTCTCTCCAGCCCTGCAATTTCTTCCAAATTTTGTCAACAATAAAAGCAAATGCATTTTTCTTGCTTCTACCAATATTTGTAGGCAAACCAAGATACTTTTCATGTTCGGCCACTTCAATGACACCGAGAGTGTTTTTTATATGTTGCTTAGCATCATGATTAGTATTCGGACTAAAAGAAATGACCAACTTAGAGCATCTCCAACAGCTTCCCCATTTCTCAATTTTGGAGAATTTAGTTAGGTTTTTGGCCCAACAGATTCCCCATCTCATTCCCCAAAATAGGGATGGAGGAGAAAAAATGGGGAAGCTTCCCCAAATCTGCAGCATTCTCCAAATTTTTGGAGGAAAAAAATAGATTCTTCAAAATGGGGAAGCTGTTGGAGTTGGTGTAAAAATTAGTTGGAGAATATGACTTTTACTTCCCCATTTTGAAGAAAATTTTGGAGAAGCTGTTGGAGATGCTCTTACTAAAATTGACACTTTGACCTGAACATCTTTCATACTCCGCTAATATACTCGAGATAGTTGCCGCATTAAGGTGATCGGCCGTGGTGAATAATAAGGCTATCATATGCAAAAAGTAAATGATGAATGCTTGGACCCCCCTGTCATCAGTTATGGGTTTTGTAGGTTATTGATTGATCATTTGCTTGAGTAAATATATATTTTTAAGACATTGTCAGATAATTGATATTTCTATAGAGATCTTCTATAAATGTGCGTTTTTACTTGAGGGCCTGTTCGTTTGTTTTCTAAAAACCAAGAAATAGAAATGGAAATGGTGAAAATCTCAAAACTCACCATTTCCTCCATTTCCATCCCTAAAACTCACCCACAACATCCAATAAAATATTATTTCCATCTAACAACTCATTCACATCATCTAATAAAATATGATTTTCATCTAACCACTCATCCATCACATCTAATAAAATATTATTTTCATCTAACAACTCATCTATCACATCTAATAAAATATTATTTTCATCCAAACATCACTCAACTCATCTCTTCTCATCATTTCAAATCACTCACATCATCCAATAAAATATTATAACAATTCACCTCATCTCATTAACATTTCATTTCTTCATTTTCATCCCAAAAAGTTATGAAAACACTTTTCTTAATCTTTCTTCACATCACCCAATAATACAATGACAACTCATCTCATCTCATTTCATTTCTTATTTTTAAGAATGAACCGAACAAAAGAAAATAAGAAACTACAGGAAATAGGTTTCTTATAATTCATTTCCTTATTTTTTTTCGCCAACCGAACACTCCAAAACTAGTTTTCTTAAAAAATCACAAACATCATCCAATAATAAGGTGACAACTAACATCATTTCAATTTCATTTCTTTGATTTCCTTCTTTTTTAGCCAACCAAACACTCCAAAAACAATTCTTCATTTTAATAGTTTTCCATTTCTTTGATTTCCCTCTTTTTTTTAGGCAAACGAACAGGCCCTGATAGGAAAAAAAAAAATAGAAAACAAAGAGAGGGCGGGATCCAATGTCCATTCTCAATTATTTTCAACTCTATGTACGCATACCCAGTAATAAATGCATAACTACTACTCTCTGAAAACCAAGCAAATCTTCCACTGGATGCAACTCTGACATTTTTAAAATAAATGGAGAAAAAAGAAAACGTGGATATGGAGAAAAGTATTAAACAAAGTCATCAACCAGCTGTAGCACTCAATATCATAAGATAACTTGCCTAATAACTTTGCTATGTAAACCAAAGTATGGGCAATCTTTAGTTGCACTTAACAACTTCTACCTTCTCTCCTCTCCACTGAAATCCTGTTCACAAATGGAAGGAGAAAAACCCATACCTCTAATGCCGAGAATGGATCGCTTGGATCGATTGGTATAAGCCTAATTTTACCTATTTTCTTTGCGTTTTGTGACCATTTTAACTATATAATTTCTTTGGTTTTTTGGTTGGTTAATATTTTTCGCAGCTTAATTATCTAGAGGAGCAAAGAAATTCTTCAAGAAGATATCAGAGTGGTGTAACTGAAGGAAAATCGATGCAACATCTCAGGCCTCTGGCTTCTGCTCTTGAGGAAGTTTCTTCCAAGGGTTCTCTTGCAGAGAGAATACAAGTGTTAGAAAATAGACTGTTACAGGTATTTGCTGCCACAAAATTTATTTTTCCCGGTTCTATCCATAGAGTTACGGTTATGAGAAATAATATTCCTCAAAGAGCAACGAATCATGATGTTTTCCTATCATTGTTTGAAATATATTTCCAAATGAGAATATTAACTAGCCACTCCTATGCCCTGAAAATGTTTATGAAAGAGATTTAACTTCAAAATATACAGCTAAGAATTTTGATACCACGATCAGGATCTCTACTTTTTTTACTGTTTCAAAAGATGATTTACCCTCGCATTTCTCTCAAACGTCACAAATGTGTAAACCCTACCTTTCTCCATATTTTCATTCAATTTGTTATTTACTTATACTTCTGTATCGGATACACAGCTTTATTCAGATTTCTCAAGGCATTTTTCAGGTCAAATACTTACACTTGGAAAAATAAAAACTTATTTCCATGTTAAAATTTTCAGTTGTATATGGAGATGGAGGGAGAAGAAAGATCGGATGACCGTAGGATAACGATATCATCTGAAGAGAGCAAGGATGTTTCAGGCAAAGAGAAGAGAAGATATTTTGGATTGAAAAAGAGAAACCAAAGGGAGGGGATCACTGGACATAGAAAAAGATGGCTGAGATGGATTAATTTTAATTTTCAACCAACATGTTAATTAATTGATTTTTATACTTTACCAAGTTGAAGGTCAGTTACTACTTCCTCAAAAGAAAGTCAATTCTACTTGTTCACATGTACCTTCAAGTATTCTGTATTATTGTGGATCGTTGGGGTGCCTTGAAACCTAGCATGTTTGTTATTTTGTCACTGTTCTGTTTTCCTTGTTCCAGCAGTTAAAAGGACTTTTCTGATAGAACTCTCAGCTTGAAATCTCTTAACATTAATTAAAATATTATGTATAATAAAATACATTTAAATTGATAAGAATTTATAACTTAGCGGAATAATATATTAGTCCTATAGGATGGGAAAATGATTCCTTTAACAAATAATTTTCATTTTTCCTAAATATTTCCTTTTTCAGAAAAAGGATATATTTGCATATATTTTATTAAGAAAATTTCAAAGCAACTATCTTATTAATCACTGCAATTTAGTTAAAAGGGAAGTTTTCTATGTTATGGCCTCCTGATTAATGTATGTATGTGTGTATATATGACACACACACACATATATATATACATATATACACACACACATGTATGTATGTGTGTATATATATGTGCATATGTATGTATCCATGCTTTTTTTAATTAAGTTTTAAGGTTTTTTTAGATATTAGTCTCTTACATCATTAGTATTCTGATATTAGTACCTCACATCTTCATATTTTGATATTACTCCCCTAAATTACCTTACTCACTGGTGTTAAAATTGGTGGGGAGTATTTCATTTTCATAAATTTTTTTCTTGAATGAACAATTATACTCCTTAATTAATTCACATACCCAAACCCATAACCCTTTAAACATAAACACGTTAAGACCCCTCAAACAAAATCCATTTATTGAAAACCTAAAGTAATTTCACCACCTTCTCTCTGTCGATGGTATAATTAATGTCAATGAACCCGTATAAATCAACAATCAATCTATAAAAATCAACGGCTTGAATTGCATGAAGAGGAGGGGGCTTGAAGAAATAGAGGATTTTTTTTGTTTTTGGCTTGAATTGCGTAAAGAGAGGGAAGAAATAGAGGTGGAGGCTGACTTGATTGCATGAAGAGGGAAAGAAATAGAGGAGGGGGCTTGAAAAGGAAAGGATACTGAGGGTGTTTGGGGTGGCAATTTTCTGGGTTAAACTATTATGTTTTTTATATCTACTTGTTTGATAACATACCAAATTAGTTAGCTTGTAAATCCTAATTTAAAAAGCTAGTATATCCATGCTTTTGGAAAAATAACTTAAAGCTCACCTAAATTAGCTAGATTTAACCAAACAAATTATTATTCCACCCAAACAACTTTTAGATAATTTTGTAACATAAAATTAAGTCAAAAGCTAGGAAAAAGCTAGCATAACTTGCTTCTAAAGAGAAGCCCTTCCATACACCCTCATTACATTTAGCTTAGAAATGGGACTATACAGATACGAAGCTTTAGACGTGCGGCGGTGTGTGGGGTGGGGGGGGGGGGCTTAGTAGTTTTGAGATAGTATAGCTAGATTATATTGTAGAGTTAGAATTTATTTAATTTTTAGTAAGATTAGAAGAAGTAGAGATCAGAATTTTTAGTCTGTAGATCTTAGTTAAGATTTAGTCCATTTTTAGTTCTTTAGTATCTTAGTAGCTACAGCTTTTTAGAGCAGATTTAGAAGTTAGAGAGATTTATAGTTTTAGTAGAGAGTAGAGTTTAAGGTAGTAGTAGATTTTAGTAGTCAGTAGTAGTTATAGAATAATATTAGGGAGAGATATAGATTATAATAGTTATTAGATTTACTAAGTAGTTAGTCTCAGCTTTAGAGATTTTAGAATCTTTTTATAGCATATATATATGAAGTATTAGATAGATTTTTTTAGGATTATTAAGTCCAAGTTTAGTTCTTATAGTTATTTTAGGTAGATTTTAAGTTCTAGTTTTAATTGATTTTTAGTAGAGAGTTAGTTTTTTAGATTAGTTTAGAGAGAGTTTATTATAAGGTATTAATATTCTGTTGCTACAGAAAGCTTGTTTTACAGATTTATTACTAGAGAAGGTTTTCTTTTAGATCAGTTAGTAGTAGCTATTTAAGTTAGTAAGTTAGTAGAGTATTGATTCTTATTAGAAGTGTTAGTCTAGGTTCTAGTTAGAGAAGTTAGAGATATTAATTTGTTAGACTTAGTTAGTTAGATCTTATTATTAGTAGTTAGAGTTTAGTGATATCTTAGATTAGTTTTTAGTTTTAATTATAGTTAGTTAGAATTATTTTAGATTAGTTTTTATTAGAAGTATTTTTAGTTTTAGTTAGTTAGTAGAGATTTAGTAAGTAGTTGTATTATTTTAGTTAGAGATTATATTATAGTTTAGAGTAGTAAGTAGTAGCATTAGTTTTAGCAGCTTTTAGATAGTGGTAACTCATCATGCGTCAATCTAAATCTAGTCATCATCTACCATTTTTAATAGTTAAGTTGACGGAAGGACTAACATTAACATATTAAGGTGATTTAGGGGCTAATATCAAAATACTAATGATTTAAGGACTATTGTTGAAAAAATAAGTTTTAATTGTCCCTATCATTCTCTTCATGATATCTAATATTGAAAACTACCATAACATTCCTTCCCTTAAGGAAACATCTACTGAAGTTCTTTTTGTTCCACACGCTTTGAAATAAAGGCTAATTATCATTAAACTCCCTTAACTTTGGACGATTAGCAGACAGCACCCTATACCATTCAAAATATTTGAAATGGCCTCTTAAGTTGAGAGGTTATAAAAAAACACCCTTTTAACTCTAAGATTTTAACAGGAAGCCTACCTGAACAACATTAATCTCAATTTTGACATCAGTGAGCAAAGAAATATTTTTGCCAGTGAAAATAGGGATTCACAAATTTAGGGGGCGCTTCTGAAAATTTTTAAAGTTAAAGAAGGTTGTCTGGTAACAACTAAACCAAAGGGTTTTTTTTTCTAACGTATTGAAAGTTATGGAGGGGTATTTGATAATCGTCCAAAGTTAGAGGGGGTTATATGATCGTTAGCCTCGAAATAACATCTTCCCTAGTGTACCGGTCAATTCTAAGGCTCTACCCACCGTATAAAACCAGTGATGAAGTTACTGACTTCGCCTCGGACCAACTGCAAATATGCAACAAATGACTAACGCTCGGTTGAAACTCCGTTGGAACTCAAACGCACACGTCGTCGTCAAGAAGGGGTATGTTTTCCTAGTCAAGTTCTTCACGCAGAATATTTCTTCTAGAAAAGAAATAATAATAATAATAATAATAAAACCGAAACTTTCAAAAACCAAAGAACTTCGCTTTCCAAACCAAGACGCCCAGCAATTGACGCTAACGCATTAAGTGGGACCCACATTTAAAAAAAGAGAAAAAGAACAATTTTTCAAAACAGACCCTTTTAGAGTTTTATTTTTCAAAATTGACCGGTTTTTTTTATTTATCAAAACCGACCCGATTTTGTGATTAGCAGCCTAATCATAATCCTAAATAGTCGGGGTTGCCAACCCCGACTATTTAGGAGGGTATTAAACCCTAATTAGAGGCCTTAAACACTAAAAATTAATGTCCTAAATAGTCGGGGTTGCCAACCTCGACTATTTAGGAAGGTGATTAGCCGGTTAATCATAAAATCGGGTCGGTTTTGATAAATAAAAAAAACCGATCGATTTTGAAAAAAACTCTAAATGAGGCTGTTTTGAAAAATTGTTCGGAGAAAAACCTAGGTTGATCCTATTGGAGCCACCGCACTAACCCCCGGTGGTCCCAAAGGTCCATGAAACGGACGGTCGCGATTTCTTCTCACGTTGGATCGTGCGCGACGCGAGCCTTGCGCGTGGTAAAAAGGACGCGCTAGACATGTACTCCGGGGTTGTTGGTGGGATATACGGTGGTGCCGGATGGCGATTGCTTACCTGCTGCGTACATTTGCATGTTGCACGGAAAAATCGGTGGGGGGAATGGCTGAAGTTACCAAATTACCCTCGGAAGCCCGTCTGGGATTACGCCGTGTGACATTGGTTTCGCGTAGTTTATATCAAAATAATGGCTCAATTACTAGGTTTTTACTCTAATTTGAAGCTATTTTTTCAATGTTTATAGTATTTATTTATGCTCCAGCATGAATATGGCATTTAAAGGTGTATCTTGATGACAATAAGTCCATTTTTCGTCAAATGCCATTTAAAAAAAAAAAAAAAAATCTTCTTCCATCCCCTTGACCTATCAAAACGATTAAATCTACACTCTCATTAGTTATTAATGGAGCCTCTTCATTTTCCTTCAAACTCTCTCAATTCAATCCTAAACACTAATCCAAATTATTATTGACTTGTATGAATATTGTTAGAGTTAAACTGGGGGAAGTTGGAGGAGGAAGGGAGGGCTCAAATGGGGACCTTTTTTTGATAAACGGATGAAAGAAATTTGAATTGGAGGAATTCGACTAAAAAGGAGGGTGTAGATTTAATAGTTTTGATAGGTCAGAGAGATTAAAAAGTTTTTAAAAAATTAAAATATAATTCTTCGAAATTCTAGTTGACGGTGAGAGAAAAAAGTCTTATTGTCAGCAAGGCTAAAGTTAAAATATCATATTGATGTTGAAGCAGAAGTAATTACTATATTGAAAGATAGAGTCAAATTAGAATACCAATTTGATAAGGTAGCCTCGAAATAATGATACATGGCATTGAAACACTAAAATACATTAATAGAGATAGTAGATAGTATTCTTAAAAAGTTAAAATTAAAACAAATGCCGGTTGTCGCATTGCTACAACGCTAATAAATATTTTACAATCATCAAACTATATGCTAAAACAAACCCTTAAATTGCCACTTGTCAAGAGTTCCGGATTTATTTTGTTATCAAATAAAAAATTTATGGTGGTATGAAAGCCATTCATAAATAATTCCCTCTAAAATTCATTACAATTGTTTATTGATTTTTGCACCACCTATATTCTTCTCTCCTCTCCAATTTAATAAGTTCCATAGGCATAATTTTAACCATATGTCCCAATTTTTAGTATAATTTTTAGTGTGAAAGCAATAAACACATATCAAAATCATAATATTATCAAAAAACAGACATAGTAGTAAACAAATGATACTTGAATAAACAATTTCCAGGACGCCAATTACAAAAGCGGGTCGGGTTTTATACGTAAGCACCTCTCACTTCTCTGTTCTGTTCTCTTACCAACCAAACAGCCGTTAGCTTTGCCCGAAACGTAATGCCGGAGAACACGGAAAAGAATCCCGTAAAGACGACAATTTGTAGTGTCAACTTCGTAAATATCACAAACTTGACTGGCATTTTCTCACCCATGTTTGCCAAAACCGGTGGCGCCGTTTACAGGTACCGCCTTCCGTCACAATATAAGTAACGCCGTTTACAGAAACTCTCGGGATGAGACCAAAAGCTCACAAAAACACAGCAAAAGCTAAAAAAAAAAAAAAAAATCGGAGAGAGAGGAGAAAGTGAGGAGAGAGGAGAAAGAGATGAACTCGGATTATGGCGTTCCTCGAGAGCTGTCGGAGCTACAGAAGAAGAGAACAGAGTATCATCCCGAGCTCCCTCCTTGCCTTCAGGTATTGATCGCTCTCTCGCTCTCTCTCTCTCTCTCTCTACCTTTCGCTTTCTCTCTCAAGGGTTTAGGGTTTTGCCTTCTTGATTTGAGTTTTATTGGCTGCCTGATCTGAGTTCCTCGACCGATCGAAGAGAATCGTGAAATTCTGGTCGATTTGGTTTTTGATAAGCGAACCGAGTAACTGTTGCTTCTCTTGTAATGCAAATTCTTAAATTTGGAAATCGAAGAAAGTAACTTAGACGGATCTTTAACATTCTTAATGTAGACTTATGTTAAAATAAATAAATAAATAAAGCTTTGTCCTGAAGAAGAAGAACACCGAGGATTACATGGTTCGATCGACCAATTTTGACCTTCGTCCACGGGGCACAGTATGAGAAATCCACTATGCGTGAGGCAGAACCTTACAAGAGGAATTACCCATCTCTCAACCTCTCAATCTCACATACATAGCTGCCCTCTCATATTCTCTTATAATCCCTAATTTCCTCTGGTTCTCTTGTTCTTGGTTTTCCTATAACAATAGAAGATTCTATACATATATAGAAACCAAAACCCTATCTCTAGCCTCATTTTCTATTAGAACTAGTATACAAATTCCTTATTGGCCCCCATCTCCTAATCATGATAGACCTCGGATGCTATCTAACTACATGAAGTTACACAAGGAATCAGAGACGCAATCCCAACAGCAAAGATATATCAAGGTTTCATGAATCAATACAATTATCTTACTTTAGATTTCGATCCGCTTACCCTAAAACTGTTTTCTTGTGGAAAGAGATTTATAGAAAAGTTTGACGCTTCTTTTGATTAGAGAAGGATTGTAATTGCTTGAATCTCTTTTTCCCTTTTGAGATCAATTAAGTAGAATTTTTAATATTTTTGCTGCGAGTGGTTTAAATCTTGATCGAGTGTTGTACTTGTACAACAACAAAAAAGTTAACCAAGTACCCTAATTGGGTAATACTAGTTTTTGGCGTGTTCAATGCCCATTGAAAGGACTCTCTGAGTTAATCCAATCACACTGTCTGAAGCACTCTGGAGCTAGCAATTTAGACAATTTCAAAGGTAACGGTGATTTGTGGAGAGTCCCTTTTAAGACATGAAACCAGCTTCTGTAAGACCCAACTTGTTTACAAATTGAAGACCTCTTAAGTGTTTGTGTTAGGATAGTAAAGATATACATAATTATGTATGGAGGGGTATTTAAAAGATTGTAAAGCTTGGATTTAAATAACCCATTAATGCTCCTTATATTTGAAAAAATAGTTATTACAACCTAACTTTTTTTTCCCATTTCAGTCTATCTTTATGGCGTGAAGCACGTGGTTGTCCGTGCTAAAAAAATGTAAATAGGTTTTACTTGAAAGCACTATAGGAAAATTACTATTGGTTGTTGTGCTTAATTAAGAGAAAACATTTATTCACCTTATTTATCTAGCTAATAATTGCCCCATTGTTTGGATTTATATTGTTAGGTGCCTTCATTGTTAACACATGGTTTATGAGTTCGTATTATTGTCTCCTTTTTATGTTCGGGTGTATCATTAAGTTCATAACTATGTAATTTATCTAGCAATATCAGTTTGCAATGTAGAACTTAGTTTCGTTAGTTAAAAGCTTTTGAGAACATATGATTGTTTGTCGCACATGGATAGGGTACTACTGTGAGAGTGGAGTTTGGCGACGGGACAACCACAGCAGATTACTCTTCTTCACATGTGATAAGTCGGACCTTTCCCCACACGTATGGTCAACCTTTGGCTCATTTTTTGAGGGCAACAGCAAAGATCCCTGAAGCCCAAATCATTACAGAGCATCCCGTTATCAGGTTTGTGCTTATTTTTTGCTCATGGCTTAGAATTATGCACTTCAACATGTTTGACCCCTAACTTTAATTAAAAGAGTTTGTGGCCTATATATAATTCACCAGATCTTCTTACGGAACTTATTTCAGGGTTGGTATAGTGTTTTCTGGAAGACAATCCCCTGGAGGACATAATGTGATTTGGGGTCTTCATAATGCCATTAAAATTCACAATCCTGAAAGCGTTCTGATTGGATTCCTTGGTAAGCGTGCTGATACAGTTGATAATTCATTTCTGTGATAATCTGGATAGCATTTGTTGGCTTATTTATCATCACCAGCAAGTGGGGTCATTTTTCATTAGTTTATGGCAGAGATATTACAATCCTCGACTATAGAGGTTCATGTATTCTTTTCCATCTTCTAAGTGCTTTGGAATGTGTGGTTTTCACATTATTGGTCAACAATGAGATAACGCTACCAGGGTTTTGAACATTCATTTGATTTTCTTAGTTCCACGTATGTGGCAAAGTGAATGGCTGCATTTATCAGGTGTCAATGCAGAATAAAGACAAGGAGGAACCAGAAAGAAAAATACAAAGGTTAGGTTCTAGTTACTAAATCCTCCAAAAGTTGAGAGAAGCAGCAAAACTTAGCTTGGGTTACTTATTTTAGTGATACCCACTTGAGAGTGGTTCATGTAGAAAATCAGTGGTTCAATGTGGTTGTTATAAGAATCAATGAGCACATCATAGCCCCATGGCAGAAACCGACATAGTGACACAGTCTACACCCATAAACAATCAGAAGCCAGCCAAGGAGGGGGGAAACATGTCACTGGTTCCGACGGAGGCTAGGAGCAGCTAAGTCCTAAGCATAAACACGTCATCATTCTATACATCATTGGATATGTGCTATGTATATATGTACTCAAGAAGACTTTCCCAATTCCTTTTTTCTTGTTCTTCATCCACAAATTCCCTTAATTAGTGGATAGAACAAATGAAGAAAGGGGATTCATAGTAGACTGATTGAGAATGTAGAGAGATACGACTACATAAATGATGATGGATATCCTTACTAATTGAAGTAAAGAACTTAATTTTGCGTTCTGCAGTATAATATGTGTATTTTGGTTTATATCTACTTTGATTTGATCTTTCTTTGTCTGATAGTTCCCTTGGCTTTTTTCTCCTTTGATATTTTATGTGTTTATACTTGAGAACTTCAACTTATGTGAGGCAAAAATGCTGATCGAGAATGTAGAGAGATTCAGTGATGATGTGTATACTTACAAATTGAAGCAAATAACATAATGATGGGTTATCCTTGTCATTAAAATACTTTATTTTATCTCGATTGTTCTTTGATCTTTATTTTACTACCGGTTCTTTACTTCCTCTTTGCTCCCATAATGTTTGTGTTTTCCTTGAGGACTTTTATGCATATATTTTTCCTTTAATGGGTGCTTTTAAAGATTTACAAGCAAAAAGCTCTATTAAAGATTTCTTGGAATTGATTCTTAACATGTATGCTAGTATATCTCATCTTGCAAGAATGCTTTAACTTCCTTTTTTTAATTGATTTAATAGGTGGTACTGAAGGTTTATTTGCTCAGAAATCTTTGGAAATTACAGAGGATCTTCTTTCTACTTACAAGAACCAAGGTTCCTTGTGACTTTTGCAGAGTATTTTGATCTCCTATTAATCTCATCATCTACTAACATTATGTTTGCTGTATATTTCTTTATTTTTCCCCTACTGAAGGTGGTTTTGATTTACTTGGTCGGACGGTCGATCAAATCAGAACAACTGAGCAAATTAACGCTACAAGAGCTGCCTGCTTAGCTCTGAAGTTGGATGGACTTGTCATTATAGGAGGTAACCAATTTACCTACAGTTTGTCTGTATGTCATTAGATTCGTGGTGTTACTTATTCTTTGTTGTTCCTGTTCCTCAGGAGTCACTTCCAATTCAGATGCTGCTCAGCTAGCTGAAAGCTTTGCTGAGACGAAGTGTCCAACAAAGGTACTTGCATCATACTCACATTTATGCTGCTACTTTTGAATACATTGTCAATAAAAGAATATCCACGTCTATAACCACCTTCAGTGCTGGTGAATTCACATTTGAATCTTGTGATGAGCTGATGCTCAATGTTGGGTGGGATAGATATGTTCTCAGTTGGCATTACCCATAAACGATTTCAAATGAATTAATCAGGATTTGGACCTACCTGCTAAACTTTGTATCATATCCTGTATTTTTTTAAAAAAAAATTATGTATAGTCCATTTTACACACTTATATCTTAAATAAAATGTGTCAAAATAATGTGTTGAATGAGAAATATATGCATTGTTTCATGTATGCGCATTACTAAACATCAAACACACTCGTTGTTTTCACCCTAAATCAATCTGTAGGGTATAAACCTAAGGAACTGAAAGTGTGGTTGCCAATGTGTTCTTTTATTTTCTAAAGTAGGGTATAGTAAACTATGCACAAGTTCATTGACTTTTGGGGCGTTCCATTATTTCTATTAAAAAGAATATAATATGAACACTGTGTCTAATTATACGAGAAAAACCAGCAGTACCCATTTTATGATCGCAATTCCCCAATTCTAACTGACATTTACTATGCTTGTAGATTGCTTAACTGCAAAATTCTCCAGGTGGCTTAAAACTTGGAAGGACTAATTATAAGAACTTACATTCTTCAATATATTGCTAAATGGTGTCAGATTTTTAACAGCAGTTATATGGTTTATCTTCTTTTGTTTTGGCTCACAAAACCTGAGAAATATTATTTAGTTTTGACCTTACAGGTTTGGAGGATTATATCTCCTGAAATAGTTAGTTAAAAAAAAGATCTCATATCTAATTTCCTTGAATAATCAAGTTAAGTGTTATGTATTTGATTTGCCTAATTCAATGTACCATGTGTGTACTGTAAGGTCCTGTCAAAATATTGATGTTTATCATTCATGTGTATCCATTTCCATGGAAGGAAAAGATATTTATTGAGTACTGGAAAATACTGCTAAATTTGGTTTATGTTATTGACTAACATAGTTATGTCAACAGGTGGTTGGTGTTCCTGTGACCTTGTATGGGGATCTCAAAAATCAGTTTGTTGAAATGAATGTTGGTTTTGATACTATTTGCCGGGTATGATCCTAGCGACATTGGCTTGTATTTGGTTTGATGTGATCGATTTGTTTCATAAAACTAGTTTCTTGCTGATCCAGTGTACTTGCTTCTCCCTCTTTTTATTTACGGATGATTTCCCGTTACAGTAGCTATAAAAGTTTTCAAACGTTGAAAGAACTCTTTTATTTATTTTATTTCACGTGGAACAATGCTGTTTCCTTTTTCATGATAGTTTCCAGTGTTTTGGGCTCGTGGAAGTGTGTGCTTTCGTTTTATGTTTCTTTTTGTTCTTTTACAACAACACAGCTATCACTTGTGTGTAATTTAGGTTCTATTTTCTTATTCTACCTCCACATCAGGAGCAGTGGTTCTCAGTTTGAATTTTATGTGACTGGTTTCATCAGCAAAATTCATTTCTTTTCTTCCAGGTTAATTCACAGATAATTAGCAATATCTGCACGGATGCGCTCTCTGCACAGAAGGTAATGTATACTTTTATTTATTGTTGATAAGACCAAAACTTTTCAACAACATGGTTAGACAGGCTGATCATTATTTTGGCAAGAATAAAATGCTCTACTATCATGATATTGTGATACAAGGTCACATGGTCATATATTGCACTTTGGCTTCTCATGTCTCTTAATTTCCTCAACTTCATGATCCCCCAATCCTCCAACCACCCACTGAGAAAGAAAAAAGGAAAAACAAGTAGCGTCCAGAAAATTCATCAAATGTTGTAGTTTGTGTTATTAGCTGCCTGTAATTACTGCCACTACTGTATACATGATTTTGGCATTGCAAATTTGCTAATTTTTGTTGTCTCTGTTGCAGTATTATTATTTTGTTCGGTTGATGAGTCGCAAGGCTTCTCATGTGGCTTTGGAATGTGCTCTCCAGTCACATCCAAATATGGTAAAGATTTTATTCTAGCCATAATTTAGTGACACAAGTGTACTTTCAGATGGATGCAGTACACATGTTTGGTACATATATGCCAAGATAATGATTTATGTTTTTCTTTGACCATATCTACTTCATTATAGCTCCATATGTCTCTTAACTTTATGTCTCAGGTCATCCTCGGGGAGGAGGTTTCCTTGTCAAAACTTACCATTTTTGACATTACAAAACAGATTTGTGATGCAGTTCAAGCGAGGGCTGAACAAGGTTGGTTGTGCTTACTTAAGTTTTTCTGATGGTTCAATCATTAATTGATATGCGTTGGGTTTATGACAGAAAAATACCATGGGGTTGTCCTCATCCCTGAAGGGCTAATAGAAAGTATTCCAGAAGTATATGCACTCTTGCAGGTAGTTTTTAGTTTTATATTAATTTAAGGCTTCACTGTTTCAGCAGTTTTCTTAACCATTATCGTACAAGATAGCTCACAGAAATGGTACAACTATTTGCCCTCTTGTTACCTATCTCTCAGGAAATTCACAGTCTCCAGCGGCAAGGTGTTTCTGTTGAGAATATTTCTTCTCAGCTTTCACCTTGGGCATCTGCCTTATTTGAATTTTTGCCACCTTTAATCAGGAAACAGGTTTTTCATTCATTTTTTATCAAATAGTTTTAATTTCATGTGCTGCCGATTTAACCAAAACAAAAAGTTTAAAATACCTGTCCTTTGACAAATTTTATTTTATTTTTTGCGATTCAGTTGCTTCTTCTCCCAGAATCAGATGACTCTGCACAATTATCTCAGGTAGCTTTAACATTTATGAAGTATCTAGCTCTTTCTTCTATTTGTTTGCTCTTTCTTCTATTTGTTAACTTCTGCTTGATCTTCATACATTTAGATTGAGACAGAAAAACTTCTAGCCCATTTGGTGGAAGCAGAAATGAACAAGAGAACGGTAGGTTCAACTTTTTTGCTTTTCCTTTCTCTTTTCGTAACATGTCCGTAACTAAAATCATAAATGTATGTAGGTTCAACATTTTTTCTTTTCCTTTCTCTTTTTGTAACTTGTCCGTAACTCAAATCATAAATGTATGACACCATAGACTCCAAATATCAAAATTTTACAAGGTAAACCTGAATGTTCAAAGAATTAATTGTACATGAATTACCTTTGTCGCTGCACTTGTGTGCTTGTTTATGTTTGATATAATTGCTTTGAATCATACTTACTGTTTTCATAATTTTATTTCCAACCCTGATTAAACTGTTTCTATATCTTTTCAGAAGGAGGGAACGTACAAAGGAAAGAAATTCAATGCTATATGTCACTTCTTTGGCTATCAAGCTCGAGGAGCTTTACCATCAAAGTTCGACTGTGACTATGCTTATGTACATGCCAAGACTGGCTTCTTTCTCTAGGTTCGTAGCTAGTTAGTTATGACACAATCAACTAATAAGATTTATATGCTCAGGTTCTCGGACACATTTGCTATCACATACTGGCTGCTGGTTTGAATGGCTACATGGCTACTGTTACGAACTTGAAACATCCTGTCAACAAGTGGAAATGTGGTGCTGCTCCAATTACAGTTGGGTCTCTGTTCTTAATTCTAAGATTTTAGTATGGTATTCCAGAGAGTATGTTCCAACATATGCAATAAGATGGATGATTTAATGGTAATTTATCTAACGATTTTTTCCTAAATCAGTTATTTAAATATATCTATGGCAGGCAATGATGACCGTGAAGCGATACACACGTGGTCCTGGAGCCACTCCAATAGGAAAACCCGCTCTTCATCCGGCCACGATTGATTTGAAAGGAAAAGCATACGAGTATGATTCTTGTACCACCACCCTATTATTAATGCTATCACTTTGTTTACTCTGTCCTTTTCATCCTTTTGCCATTTATGTGGTATTTTTTCACAAAGCTAAAAGGGATAACGTTCTGTGAAGCATCTTTCTGATCGCCAATATAGTTATTATATTCCTTACAGGGTTTTGTTCAAGACTATGATTATAAATTACTACTAATGTTCAGATAGGAAGTTGATAATCAAATAAATGTTTAATTTCAAACTCAAAAGGTATCTTGTGTCTATGTCATCAAACCATCCCTGCTGCAACATTCAGCATGAATTATTATTTTATGTTTCCTTGTGATTCAAGTTTTCTTATGGACGACATGTATAGAAACCCAGGACCCATGCAATTTGAAGGACCAGGTGCTGATGTGAAGCCTTTGACATTGTGTATCGAAGATCAAGATTATATGGGTCGGATCAAAAAGCTTCAGGAGTACTTAGAGAAGGTTTGTTCACCTTAGCTCCTCTGCTGTTATCTTTTTCCTTTTATTTTGAAGCAAAAGGCCTAAGGATGAGGATTGGTGAGAATTTTTTCCCCAGAAGCTTACCATTTACGTTTCTACACAAAAAACTATCCACCTTCCAATTCTATTCCTCTACCACGACTGTTTCTAGAAAAATGGCCAGTCTTGTGATGTGCATCAAGTATACTTAGCTTTATATGACTGGTGGACCCTGAATGTACTATTCCAAACCCACTGATTGCTCATACGTTGTTTCTGATGGCCCTTGCTGGCTACTGAATTTCCATTTAGTACCTTATTTTGTAGAACAAAATTACTACCCTATCTGCAAAATGCCCTGTTGTGCGGTAGCGCACTTATCCTACTTCTTGTGCACCCTTTATTGATGTTATCAATATTTCTTTTCCTAATGTCATCTTTCATAGAGTAGTACTTACTAGCCTATACTTTTTTTACTACTACTGTACTAGGGAAATGAGAAGGTGGATCCTTTTAGTTCATAGGGAACATAATAGCAATTTATGAGTCAGGACCCCCCTCGTTTGAATCCCGTGGTTCTAGGGTAATATAAGACCTAGTCTAGTTAGCATTCCTTTCCATATACAGAAAACATCTGTGAGCTTCAATAAATCAGTTTTCCAGTTGTATACAAGTATGGTGCTATTAAAGGTTCTTTCCACTGTTTTATCGATATCCAGTAACAAATATTATATAATCAAAAAGTACCATTTAAACACCATTTGCTTTAAACACTTGAGTAGGGGAATTGTGTGAGATCTTTTAACTTCAAACTCACAATGGATGACTTCCTCCTTCCATATACAGGTGAAGAGCATCGTGAAGCCCGGTTGTTCACAGGATGTTCTGAAAGCAGCTCTGAGTTCTATGGCCTCTGTCACCGAAGTGCTCAGTGTAATGTCTGCTCCCTCGTTCAAAGGCCAGCTCCCACTCTAAATATGATAACCGTATTCATATATTTTCCCCTACTTGAGAGCTCTTGTAACTTACAGGCATCGTACAATTTTGATGATGGTGAGCCGTTGATGTATGTATTAATACATTTTTGTTATGAAATAATTACCAAGGATGCCTGTACATAACATTTGCATCATGTTTACTGTGTGCTATTTAGAACCTTGTTTACTCCAAACGGAGAAGTCCATAAAGCAAACCTGTTGCCTGAGGCGGCCGATGGCTTGCGTGCCGACCGTTTTCGATATTGTTTGGTCCTGCTTACGGTTTGTCATTTGCGCTGTAATGGGTAAACTAAATCTCATTGAGCTACCTGTGTTAAGAGATGCAAATGTGCTGTAAATCTAGTGAAGATGTGAATGCGTAATGTCCCTGTAAAGTTACTCAGTAATTTACCAACCTTTGAGGACATCGATTCTCTCCTTATTTTTACCAATCCCTACCGAAGCATAGCTTCTTACGGGGTTAAATATTTATATTTTTGTCAAACCATTTGAGATTAGAAATATGTTGATTCATGTAGATGCACGCTTCTCATCAAACCTCGAGTAGCAACTTGTACTTGAGGTTTTTACAAGCATAGCATGGTTTATGAGAATCTCTGCTGGAGAGAGGGGAGAGTGTTAACTTGAATTTTATTAGAAAATACTAACGAGTGAAATATCCAATCTGGTACGGACTTATTTAAAAGTAGGGTTTTATATATTAACCTCTTACATCTTTTAATATTCTTAAATTAGTCCCTCCCATCATTAAAATTGCTACTAGCTCTTCCAATTTCAAATTATTTAGAAACTAGTCCTTTCTATCAAAAGCAAAAAATATCAACTAGAGGGACTAATTTAAAATAACTTAAGAGAATTAGGGGGCCTAATAACAGTTTCACTGATTTGAGAAGCTAATCATACTCTCTTTAAAAGCACGAGTTTAAAAAAAAATCTTTCGGTAGACAAAAATACCCTTGGAATTCAAATATTGATCCATTAAGTAAGAGTAAGTTGATAAATTGATGAATTCTTATTAGATATACATAGTATAAAGATAATGATATAGTTTAAATTAAAATGTAAACCTAAATGAAATTACTAAATGTCAAATTTGCAAATGTCTACAGGATGAAGGGCGTATATGCAAAAACCAAATAAATTAACGAGACAAATAATGTTTGCCTCAAAGGTCGAACCTAGAAACAGCGCAGACCTACAAATGTATATAATACGGATGAGATATTTGCAAAATTCACCAAACAAATTAAAGAGATAAAGTCATTCTCAAAATTATAAAAAAGGAAAATTAAAACAAACAGTTGCGATCTGAGGACGTCACATAGTGATCTCTCACCTACTAAAATTCAAGTAGTTCACGGTACTGTATAATTAGTTTTAAAGTTTAATTATATTATTATTATCTTAATCGAACTCTATTTATAATTGTTATCCTCTCACATGTAACATCACATACCAATATATATAAGCCAGGAAATTACAACAATTTTCATAGCACTTTTATCTCCTTCTATAGGTATATGTCTTTGTTAAATTTTTATTAGATTATTTTAAAACAATTAATTATATTGTATATTTAATCTTTTTTTTCATATTAAGAAATAGCAACAATTTTCACAATACTTTCATTTATTTTATTCTTATTAGATTAGATTAGATTATTTTAAAGTAATTAATTATATTGTATGTTTGATTTTTTCAGATCAGAAATTGTAATAATTTTTATAGCACTTTCATCTCTTTTAACAGGTATATGCCTTTGTTATTTTCTTCTTATTAGATTAGATTATTATATTAGATTAGATTGTTTAAAAATTATGAATTATGAAATTGCAACTATCTTCACATTACTTTCATTATTTTATTCTTATTAGATTAGATTAGATTATTTTAAAGTAATTAATTATATTGTATATCTGATTTTTTTTCAAATCACAAAGTTTAATTATATTATTATTTAAATAGATATTGTTTGTATAAAAGTTAAAGAGAATCTCACACGTATCTTAGATCTCAATGTCAATTGTAATACTTAAATATATGTGTTGGTTAAAATAAATTTCATGTATGGGCTTAACTTATATGATCCTGTTATGGTCATTCACCGTACTAAAATAGAAGTATCGGAAGAATACCTGCATAAGCCCAAGCGAGCGATGGTCTGAATCAACTTTAGAGACTCAAAAGCACAGCCAGAGCCAAGTCCCTCGACTAGACAAGCAGACAAGCCTTATTACGACCGACAGATCATCATGACCGACTCGAAGAACGGGATCAGTAGTTCCCTCGCAATTAAGATGACTCCTCGAGCAGACGACTCGATTACACGCCCGACCCGAAGTCCACTTGACTGTCGGGTCGCCAAATCATAACGATGGCTCACGGATCAACCCGCCTCGACTAAAGGGATAAGATTCAACTGAGATCACTTCAAATGTCACTCGAAGCTACAACATTAACCAGTCCCATCGAGATATACGCTCTGACAAGGATCTCCTGCATTGTTTTCGTCGAAAGTTGGTTTCGTTGTGGAATTCATTATATCTTCAGTCGATTACAACAAATTCGAAAAGAAATGATCTTTTTATAAGACTTCTCTTACACAACAAACAGAAAATTATAACTCTCTAGAAAATAACACAGAAATTATTTATCAACTCCTGCTTTGTGGGACTTTGCCTGTGCCGGGAGTGCTTTGACTCGTGGACCACCAAATCACAGATTGTGAAAGGGGTTTAGAGATTCTTCCTTCATTTATTGAAGTAGGAATTTGAAGTGAATATCCTATCGATGTAAGATGTCCACTCTTCCAAAGATCAAGTCTGAGCTTAGATCTCTAGGAATCACCCAATGTTGTTTACGAAAGGCGAAAAATCTTTTTATAAGACTTCTCTTACACAACAAACAGAAAATTATAACTCTCTAGAAAATAACACAGAAATTATTTATCAACTCCTGCTTTGTGGGACTTTGCCTGTGCCGGGAGTGCTTTGACTCGTGGACCACCAAATCACAGATTGTGAAAGGGGTTTAGAGATTCTTCCTTCGTTTATCGAAGTAGGAATTTAAAGTGAATATCTTATCGATATAAGATGTTCACTCTTCCAAAGATCAAGGCTGAGCTTAGATCTCTAGGAATCACCCAATGTTGTTTACAAAAGGCGAAAACTCTCTTTCTCTTCCTCAAAATTATCAAAAGCTCAAGTCTCTATGCTCCAATCTGTTCTCTGTCCTTTGTTTCGTGTCTAAGGAGGTATTTATAGGGATAGGAGTGCACAACAGCGAAAATAGGGGCGAAATAACTGATCAATTGGATGCTGCCGCGGCTATTGGCGCGCTAGTGTGGACTGGCGCGGCCAAAGAGGCCGTTACAGCCACGTTCCCATCGTGCTTGAAACTGTCCTCCCACGACTTTTAACCATTTTTTTCGTGGTTTAACCGCTTGTCCACATCAGCACACATTCTTTTTCTAATATACCGCCACGTGGACCTTGAAAATCATCGTATAACTGCTTTTTTTTTAACCACTGTGGTAGCTCCCTATAGTTTGCACGTCACCATGGACTGACGCGCAATAGGCGCGCCACCATAGGCTGTTGCGCCTTAGGCGTGTCACCATGGACTGTTGCGCCTTAAGCGCGTCACCCTAATCATCGTATAACTGCTTTTTTTTTAACCACTGTGGTAGCTCCCTATAGTTTGCACGTCACCATGGACTGACGCGCAATAGGCGCGCCACCATAGGCTGTTGCGCCTTAGGCGTGTCACCATGGACTGTTGCGCCTTAGGCGCGTCACCCTAGGCTGTCGTGCCTATGGCACGTCACCATAGGCTGTCGCGCCTATATGTGTCGCCTGTCAGTGTGTTTTGTCACATGTATGCACATTGTATCTATAAGTATTTTTTGACGCCTACAGATACCCCCTCCAAAGTATTTCAGACTCGTTCCTTTATAGAAGAGTCTGAGACACTTTGGATAAGATAGGTTTTACTTGTAATCCCTTCAATATTCAGTTGAAGAAATTACGTAGAATGGTCTGTGAATGGCTTCAATTCCTGACTTCTTCATCTTTTAGTCTATTCAGTGCTTTGTAGAATAGCTAAAATTCTTCCGGTGCTACGTTTATCGCGTGGCCGTTGTCAAAGTCTTGAATCAGAGCTGGTGTTGAAGAATGGAGGAATAGTTTATACTCATATACCCTATCGGAGTATTCGGGAAATAGTTTAACCTCATATACCCGTTGGGAGGTAATCAGGTTATCCCTAAGAATATTCTGAGTGATATTCTCCAGAAACTTCCTGTTGAGGGTAGGAAAACAGTTTAGACTCGTGTACCTATTGGAGTATCTTGGTCTCTTTTTTGTTGGTAGAGATGAACCCGAAATCGAAGAGGAATAATTTTATATTCTATCTCCTGGTCTCTTGTTTGTTAGTAGAGATAAATCCAAAATCGGAGAGGAATAATTTTATATTCTATCTCCTGGTGCAAAAGAAACTCAAAATGGGATCTCCACTTAGAGAATCTGGATTGGTTTGAATAATCCTAACTGTCATAAGGTTTGACTATTCAACTCAAAAGTGGACCTTTCGTTCGCAAAATGAATCAAAAGGAGGTTTGACTGTGGTCCTAACTATAGTAAGGTTTGACCAAGTGGGAGTTTGATACGATCCTAACTGTTTAAAGGTTTGATCGTTCAATTTGAGTGGACCTCTCGTTCATGGAAGGAATCGAGAGGGAATTTTGGCTTTGGCCCTAACTGTTTAAAGGTTTGACCGAATGGGGGTTTTGAAACGATCTTAACTGTTTAAAGGTTTGATTGTTCAATTTGTGGACCTCTCGTTCATGGAAAGAATCGAGAGGGGATTTTGGTTTTGGTCTTAACTGTTTAAAGTTTTGACCGTATGGGAGTTTGATACGATCCTAACTGTTTAAAGGTTTGACCGTTCAATTTGAGTGGACCTCTCGTTCATGGAAGGAATCAAGAGGGAATTTTGGCTTTGACCCTAACTGTTTAAAGATTTGACCAAATGGGGATTTGAGACGATCCTAACTGTTAAAAGGTTTGATCGTTCAATTTGTGGACCTCTCGTTCATGGAAGGAATCGAGAGGGGATTTTAGCTTTGGTCCTAACTGTTTAAAGGTTTGACCGAAAAGGATTTGAGACGATCCTAACTGTTTAAAGGTTTCAATTTGTGGACCTTTCGTTTATGGAAGTTGGTCCTAACTGTTTAAAGGTTTAACCATGTGGGAGTTTGATACGATCCTAACTGTTTAAAGGTTTGATCGCTCAATTTGTGGACCTCTCGTTCATTGAAGGAATCGAGAGGGGATTTTGGTTTTGGTCTTAACTGTTTAAATGTTTGACCAAATAGGGATTTGAGACGATCCTAACTGTTAAAAGGTT